AGGACTGGAAGGTGCTTTGTTGAGATCCGGGCCTCGGGTTCAGAACCTGAAGTCCTGTCACAGAACCCCTTTCCCCCTGGGAAGGCGGGGGACCCTTACCAGGAAGGCTCCGAGCCATTGACGGACACTGCGGGCAGGACCTGTGCCCCGGGTCCCACAGAATGTCAGAAGCTTTGGGCACCTGTTTCTGTTGTTGCAACCACATAACGGGGGTTCTGTTAGATCATGCCTGGCATGTATCTGCTTCCAGAAAGAACTCATCACCTGGACACTGTTCTCCTTCCTGCCGCACGAGGGTCCTGGGCACAGGTGCGTGCACACGTGCCTGCGTGTGGGTCCCCGTGTGCATCTGAGTGAAGGAGCAGAGAAGCCACAGAAGCAGAGCAATGACTCAAACTCATGCCCAGCATGGCTTTGGTTTGTCTACCAGCACTTCATAGTTATGAATAAAATATTAATGCGTCTTATGTATGCACTGGTGAGTTTCATTATAAATACAATTAATGTTCTCATTCTGCTCAGACACAACACCTCACGAATGTAGTGAACAAAGTGGGGAGAGCCACATGCTGCCACTGTCCGCAACTAAACCCACATCTCCGAGGGGACACGCAGACTCTCGAAACCGGCCCTTCTAACTCCAAGCCCTGCGACTCGCACGGCTGCAGCAGCTGCGGTGAAGTCGCAGAGGTGGAACCTGTGTAGACAGCACTGCAGAGAGCAATTCTCAGATCCATTTCTGAAGGAGCAGATGAAAACATGCTGGGAAATGCCTGCGATTGTCACATTCTGGGATGACCCACGACAGTCACTTCCATAGTCCCAGACCTGATTGTCCTGTGATGAAACTCTTGCGCATTCATTGGTTGGAGGGATCCTCAGAACCCAGGTGAGCCTTGGGGAACCTACCTGGGCATCCTACTTAGAGAATTATTCACAAAAAAACTCTAAGCCCCAGGGGCTACATCAAATAAACATGGGCCTCTGAGCTACCTGTGAGAGACCGAGGCCACACCAAATGGGTCTTCCATAGGTGGTGTTCATCTATAAAGTCAGGTTTAAAAAAAAAATAGACTACTTCTAAGAGCAGCTTTAGGTCCACAGCAATGTTGATCACAAGGCCACCCCCCCCACACACACATGACCTGCCCCATTACCAACACCCCCACCAGAGCGGCACGTCTGTGAAACCCAAGAGGCTGCAATGGCACAGCCTGACCGTCCTCAGTGCGGAGCGTGCGATGGGCTCACTCTGCCGATGCTGCGAACTTTATGGGTCTGGACAAACGTCAGTGCCCTGCATCCACCACCATAGTGTCACCCAGAGTCATTTCACTGCCCTAAAAATCTCATCATTCTCACACACTGACTTCACTGAAATATAAACTCTAAGCTTTTTCTCATATCATTAAACACTTTGGGGGGGGAAGGGTTTAAACGACTGCTTTGGTTGGAGGACAGGCGAGGCTACCAGAGCAAAGCCCCCAAAGTGCTGCACCTTCGAGTGGATGGGAGAAGACACACACAGTGCTCGCTCTCTCACCCGGCAGATGGGGGTGGGCAGGTGCTCGGGGCCGCTCGTCCAGGGGCCCTGGTTCCTTCCACCTTGTCGTTCCCCCTTTAGACTTGATTTGCTGAAGACACCAGATTGTCCGCAACCTGTGGGTGAGTCACCACCTGGAGGTTTTTCTGCAAAGCTGGGCGATAGCCCTGGGTGGGTAGCTCTGTTGGTTAGCGTGCTGTCCTCATATACCAAGGTTGCAGGTCCCATCCCTGGTCAGGGCACATATAAGCAGCAACCAATGAATGCATAAATACGTGGAACAACAAATTGATGTTTCTCTCTCTCTAAAATCAATTTAAAAAATTAAAGTAAAAAAAAAGAGAGAGAAGAAGAAAGAAAGAAAACAAGGCAATGCACCCAGCTCTCTGGTCCATCTGGGAGCTGAATGAGATCATGCACGGAGGAGCCCTGGAGGGTGGGCGGCAGAGCGGGTGCTTCATTAGAGCATCCTCATCTCAGAAGTCAGGAGGGAGCGGAATCTGTCATGGTGACGACAAACTACACCCTTATAAAGCACAGCTCTTGAAATTCTGCTCGTGGTGCCGGGGAGCCCCCGCCCATCTCCCCGAGCCGCCTGACCCCACACCCACCAGGGACGAGCCCAGCCCCGATCAGCTGCTGCTTTTCTTCCTTTGCTTAATGGTCCCGGATGTGGACCTCAGCAGAACGCCACAAGAATCATAAAAAGGAATTTATAACAGGATCATCTTCAAGCTGTGTGTGAGCCACACAGGAGGCAGGGCAATTGCATTCCTAATCGTTTTCCTGTCTCCTCGTTTCACCACGAGAAACTCATTTCACCATTAGGCTCAAATTTACCGCAGGAGGAAGCAGGCCAGGGAAGGGAGGTGCCTATGACGGAGCCGGTCACCACCCCACCTCCTAGAAGGGAAGCTCATCCCACAAAACCCCCCTCCCACGGTTGTTTCCGCACCAGGGCTGGGGTGCAGGGCAGGATGGTAGTAGCTCCTGATGACACCTACTGGATGTCACCTTACAGGGTTCCTAAATGGGAAGGCACACCACAGGGCCATTTTTTAAATTTTGTCCTCTCTTATAGGAGGCCTCCGTGGGGTATCAGGGGGGCCGATGAGGGCCAGAGCGTTGGAGGGACTTTTCTTCCCTGGCCTCTGTATTGCCCCTTGGTAGAGACAAGCCTTTCCTTCCGGGTCTCCCTTCTGCTGGCCCCAGAGGTCATCCTGACATCCTTGAGCACCAAATGGGGCTCAAAGCCACATTCCAAGTCAGTCGTCACTTGGTCGACTGGGAGTGGGGCTGCAGTAGAAAGAGACAGAGATCAGCGTCCTGGGCCTGTACCCCAGCGCCACCCGGCCTCCTGTGCTGAGAGCTGCTACTCCTTCTGGTCCTCCTACTAGCGGTGGTGCCCGCTCACCCGGCACCATCTGGGTGCCGGCCACTATTCTGAGTAATTTTACATGTGTACTGACTAAGTTGGTCCTCACAGCAACTCTGCAAGGTGACCATTTATTTGTATTATTATTGTTGCATTTTCCCCTCTTGCCCCTTTAAGTCTTTTTGAAGACTAGACTTGTCCTTGCTTTCCACTCAACCCAGCTCGCAGAACAAGTCCGGGTGTATCGTAGAGATTTCACACGTAAGTGCGAACGGGTGAGCACTGTCAAACCCCACCGGTCTTACTGCTCCTCTCGGTACCATTCGTCACCTCATCTTTCCATGACAACTGCCCCCTTTCAGGCCTTTCTTTCTTGCTCTGGTGTGCAATTGCCTCTGAATTCGTCTCCTTCCTACTCTCTACTCTGATCAAACTGTGTAATAAGTCCAATTTTACCATATGCTTACTGTCTGCATAGCAAGGTCATGTTCCAAGTGCTTCACGTGTTTCAACTCGTGTAACCCTAGGAAGGTACAATGAATATTGCCCGTTTTACAGATGAGGAAACTGAGGCAAGGCGAGGTTAGGCATGGATAAGCTGGCCAAGACGTAGCAAAGCTGTGATTCCAATATGTGTTGGCTCGGTCTGGAATAGGGTAGGACACTAACCCACTCCCCACCCAGCTGTCCGTCAGGCACGCAGGGCCAGGAGCAGGGAGCGGTGGGGCGTCCAGGGTGTAGAATTCCACCGAGTGGTGTGAGGCCGGTCCTGTGTGTGCACGCCTCTCCCCTCGCCCATCCCAGCCTGCAGTCCTGCACCTTCCCGACTCCCCGAGGCCCCAGGATGCCGTCCGAGCACCGGCCTACTGTTCGGGGCCTTCCATGGGCTGCTTACAACTCCCCGCTCCACCTTTACCTTGTTTTCATGTCTTGTCTGGTTGTCTGTCTGGGATGTCCTTTCCCTGACCACGTTTATGGGGTATAAAGCCTGCCATTCTTTGTCAAAAAAAAAAAAAAAGAGAGAGAATGAGAGAGAGAGAGAGAGAGAGATGCTGCGTGGTCATCTGGCCCTGCTGTTCTCCTGGGGGGCAGCTACTGGTTGCTGGCAGATCTCATTTCTGCCTGCACTCATGACCTGGGGCCCTCGTCACTCTGAGGACTTGAAACATCCCCTCTGGGCTGACCCGACATTGAACCCTGCATCCTAAACTTCTGCAGTTCCCCTCTGTGTCCACCCCCTACTCACCACCTCTACTCTGAGGTTTACCAGCTATCTCAAAAGCAGGACTCAAACCTGCCCCTCCTCCCAGTTTCCCATCTCTATGAAATGACACTCCTGCCTCAGTGCTTCCTGTCACTGACGCCCTAAAGGTCGCAGTCACTCTCTCCCACCCCACATCCAATCTAATGTGAAGTGCTACCGGTTCCTCTGTCACTGTATGTCAGAACAGGACTTATCCATCCCATCTGCTGCTGCTGCCTCGACCCCAGACACCACCTTCCCTCCCCAGATCGCTGCTGTCGCCTCAGTGACAACAGACCTTGGGTGAGGCCGACCCACACTGGGCGGGGCAAGCCGCCCTGGAGAGTGCGCCGATTCCAGCGTGGTTCATTCAGGAACAAACCAGACACACCGGAAGTCATGTGTAGCCAAGGATCTGGGCATCCCCCACCCAGTCGAGCTGACACATAAAGCAACCCCCAGTGTTTATTATTCCCTTTGAACCCACTGGGCCTTGGATGCAAGCATTCCACCATTTCCTTCCTGTGTCTTCAACTCAGTAACAGGGGTGGGCGGCCACGGACGTGCACAGCGCCGGGACCCAGAGTGAGCCGGAGTGGGGTGGGCCGGGCCTGCCGCCGTGGAGACCAGGGCTGACAGGTCAAAGAGGGTGAACTGAGCACGGGGCCGGGAAAAGCCAGCCCCGCTGAACCGAGGACGTCAGCTTGCCGGCCGGGCCCCGGAGCCCAGCGTCACCGCCGCTCACGCGGCAGCCAGTGCTCGTGGCCCTGGATACGAGAGCTCGCGCAAAGGACCCCAGGACCACCATTCAGTAAGAAGGCACACAGGGCGAGCATCAGTGACTTTTAATGGTTCACATTGTTTTTATTTTAAAAAGAATTATAACAAAAAGAAACATGGAACTTAATATGTTTTGATAAATCGGGCAGTTACAGAATCAAAACCAGGCGAGGCCATAAAGTGTGATCCTTCCCGTGGGGGCAGAACCGTCCACTCTACGGAGCAGGGAGAACCACATGATTCGGCTCCATCGTCTCACGCTGCCTGCTGCTCTCACTTCAGAGACCGACAGACGTGGAGGCAAGACAAATTTTAAAAAATAAATAAAACTCAACACGGTCAACTGCCTCGGTTCCCCTCACCATCTCCCCTTCTGGCGTCTTTGTCTCGCACATGGGGGGCGGGGGGGGGGGCGAGGCAGAGCCCCGTGGGACGGGTCGGGTGCTCTGCTGACGGAATGCCAGGCGGAAGCCTGGGTTCCCTGAGGTGACCGAGAAATGGACTGTGACTCTAGTCCTCGGTGTCGTGGCTGAGGAACACGAGAGCGGGGGGAATGAAAAGGGAGCTACGGGACCCGCTGGTGGGAGGCCTGGTGTCCACGGCACACGTGTACAATCCAGCTCAGGTAGCGAGGAGGTGGCCCAGAGGTAGCCCTTACTGCATGCACACGGAACCCCCCGACGGCGGAGTTCGTGCCTCTCCGCAGTGACGCGAGTTGGAATGGAAACGAGGCATAAACACTCCGGCCAAGATCCCACCAGGTATCGTCATTCGTTCAACAGAAGATATCAAAACCATTTGGTTTTTAAACAAAAATCCTTCACATCCACCTGTGTTCAAAAATAGTAATAACTTATGCTATTAACAACTTCCTCAAAATAGTAATTACCACAAAGGAGTTAAATCGAAAGTGTAAGAAAGAACAACCTCCCTATAAATGTAGTTCTTAGGAAGAGACAGATACATATTATACATGAAAAATGAAGCTGTGATATTCTGTGTTTTTAGCTTGAAGTTAAAGTTACAAAAAAAAAAAAAGGTTGTAAGCCAGTGTTAGGTGTTGCGGCTCACTTAGACCAGCATGCAATGAGGGAAAGACATTTACTGTGTTTCACATTTAGGTGTGTGTCTGCCTCCGTGATCAATGACGATGGAAATCGTGCCAGGCTGCGAGGTCCCATGCAGTGGAACAGCGCCTCCAACGGGCCTTTTCCTTTCCCTAAACAGGACTGAAACTCATCGTAACTAGTGGTGCAGCACTCGGGGGCGAGTCTGGCCACCAATCACACATCTACTCGCCTGAACGTGTAACTTATCAGGGGAAACGATGCCAGACGGGTCAGGGGAGTGGCACAGACCATCCGAGTCCAGGGGACGAGCCTACCACTGGCCGCCAAGGGAGCTGAATCATGCCTCTGGAGCAGCGAGGCGCCCAACGTGCGCCCCTGAGCCCTGACCTGCTTTAGACAAAACTCGAGGGCTCAGGCTTCTCGTCTCTAGTATCTTTAACACCTTAGAGAAAATAGAAAACAAGAACCGGCCTCAGGAGCCGGACAAAGAGAGTAAGAAAACCTGCAGAGGAAGAAGGGGCATGCGGAAACTGCTTCGCCAGTCGCTCCATCACGGCCCACCGCGCGCGCGGGTTTGGGCCCGGTGACTTCATGGACGCATCCCTCCGATGCACTGCCGAAGGCCAGTTTCGAGTCCATCGTGGTGACCCCAGTGTGACGCTGCTTGCCTTCCATCCACCGCCTCCTGCCCGGGAGATCCAAGGGGGGGCCTCGGGTGATGTTAGCACAGGACACGCAGGTGCCAGAGCCCAAGACGCTTCCTAAACACTTCACCTTGGATGTGGGCAAGGAGACCCCGGAGGGATGGCGTCTCGGCAGCAGCATCCACACCGGGGCTTAACCTCAGCAGCCAGCCTGCAGGATGTTGCCCCCGGAGCGCTTGGTCACCGACAGAGTCGTGAATACCTGCGGAGGGAGACAGCACGAGATTCTCAGACACGCGAGCAAATGGGTGACCAGCGAGTCAGTAGTTCGGATCGCACTGTCCACGCCAGGGAGTGCGGTGTTTACCGACATGGAAGAAACAGAGGAGTAATGTGAGGAAGGGTATCCTCAGCTTCTCCAGAGGGTAAATGGGGAAAAACATTTTAAAACCAAAGCAGAAGAGAAGAAATATTTAGATTACATCTAACGTCAAACTTTCTCAGCACGAGGGTGACTGGAACGAGCTCCCCGGGCCGCTTGTCTCTTCTCTAAGAAGCGGGCACCGTGGAGACTTCTGGGCCTGTGGAAAGGTGTGTAAAGTGCACTGGGACCACCCCCCACGGGCCCGCCCGGCCTGGGGAGCTCTGTGAGTGTGGCCAGCGGCCCACACGTGCCACCGCCTGGCCACTCCCTCCCACTCCCCGCTCAGTCGGTGCGGACCACGCTCCCACAAAGTTCTTCCCGCTTTCCTTTGTAGGTTTTTTAAAACTTTACACGAAAATGGCAGATGGTGTATGTCCTCTTCTGCTACCTGCTTTCTTGGCTCACACTGCATTTCTGTAACCCAGCCACATGGAAGTTTTGTTCCAGTTCTTCCACTTCTCACTGAACAGTTTTCAGTCACTGTAGTGTCCCATATGTGCGTTGTACTACAGTATCCAATCATTCGAGCAGTGAATGTACTACAATCGCTTATCCGGGCTCCTCTGGCTGGCCGTCCTGGCTACTGCCAATACGCTGTTTGCAACACGCTCTGTGCCATCCAGGAGTCTCCTTGCGCCCAGAGCTGGAGGTGCAATTGCTGGGTTGTTGGGTAGGTGCCACTACGATGTGACTGGATTTCCAAGGTGCCCGACCAAACGGCACGCTCACTTGCAGTGACCGACGAGTTCTCATCTCACATCCCTGCACACATTTGCTGCTTATGGGTCCGGGGCCTTAATTAATAACACCTTTAGGCAGCTTTAACTTGCTGCTGCGCAAGATGGCCTATACGTAAAACAACAGTTCTCAAACTTTCGTGAACAAAGCCTATTCATACTGATTCAAATACACAGAAATTATGCAAATTGGGTGGACCTAGGGTAGGGCTGAAGGATCTCATTTTTAGTGATAGCCCCAAGTGATTGGCTGTAACACAGGTTGTCTTCGAGCCACATGAGGATTTGTCCTGCGACAGCAGTGTTGCAACCCTAACCATCAGCTGTTCATCTTCGTAGTCTCACCAAGTAAGAAACACACACAAAAACATAGTATTTCCCTATCTAGAAACAGATTTCTATCCCTGGCCTAATGGAGTAATTGGCACCAAACCAACTGTCTCTGCTAAAACCATCAAAAACTAGACAAAACACAGGAAATAATTACTCCAGATACCAACCAACAGGCAGTGGGCTGAGGGTCCCGCAGGAGGAGCAACAAGCAAGCCGAGGCTTCGGCAGGCCTGGCCGTCTGCCTGGAGGCACCCACAAGCCCCAGGGAGAGGAGCCCAAGGGAAGCACAGACGTCTTGGTGACAAGGAGGCAAGAGTGGACACTAGGGAGGCTGAGGTGGCTAGGATTCGGGGGGGCTGACTCCCCCAGACAAGGGAGCTACCCAGAGAAAGAGCTCCAGAAAGCTGCATGCAGGTCCGTTGTCGCTGGCTGAATACCAGGATGCGCAGGTCTGGGGGCAGGACCTCGCGAGGCCCGGGGAGAAACCGCAGCCCCAGAGCTGTGGGCTGAACAGCTGCCAGTGCCCAGCCGGGACTAGGAGCAGTCCCGGTTCTCACGAGCTGCAGTCCAGAGGCCTCCCCGAGCCCCTGGGGCAACCACCGGAGACCCCAGAAAGCCACGCCCAGGCAGAGGGCTAAGCATTACTGGCCCTGGAGTAAAAGCTACTCTAGACTGCCCCGGCAGAGCTTAAAACACACCTCCCAGGGATCTGGTGAGCCACTAGGACGTTAATGGTGCGCCCCAACGAAACCCGGGTACCCGGCGCAGATTCGAAATGCTGAAAGGAACAACAAAAAACCCCGTCAACCTAGAACTCTTTAGTCAGCAAAAAAAAAAATACTTCCACGAAGACAGCAAGATAAACACATTTTCAGACAAGCAAAAGTTGAGTGATTTTGTCACTTACAAACAAACACTACGAAAAAATGTTCAGAGAAGTTCTTCCAGCCGAGAGCAATGGCAACAAAGGATGACACCTTCCCCTCCAAAGGGGAAACAGAGTCACCGTCACCTGCCGGGCGCTCAGCACCCACCGCTCTTATGAACCCCCCTCCCTTTATGACTTGGGGCAAGAACGTCCCCCCTCCTGCCAGGCTGGGCTCTGCACCCCACCCCTCACGTTCTGGTTTCGCACACCACTCGCCCCACCTTTTTATCCTCCACCTTGCTTTTTCCCGCGGTCTTTCTCAGACTGTATGTATCGTACCACAGTCAGTCCTCCCTCAAACTGAGGATCACCTCTGTCACCAATGTCTCCTCTTTCAGCCAAACGTTAAGCTGTTTGGCATTTACAGCCTATTTTTGCTCCCCGTGTCACTGAAACCCGGCTGCCATCCCCCCATTCCGTGGGAACACCCTCCCGCAGTTCATCATAACTTATTGCCGCACCCAGAGGACACTGTGCAGACTCTGTTTCACACGGCCTCTCTGCAGCATTCCGTGCTGTCGACCTCACCTGCCGCCTTTTAACAGCTCTTTCTTCTTGTTGTTTCCTTGGCAGGGGTCTTTCCCGTTTCCTTCTTTTGTGGCTGGTCCTCGGCCATGGCATGGAGGTGCCCTGAAACACCGATTCCCCAGCCCCGGCAGTGGCCAGAGGCCCTGGGCTGGCTGGCTGTAGCCCTCAGCCACCCCAATGTGCCGCACAGACACTGCCACTGTCCACGCGTGCAGGACACTGCGAGGCCAGAAAGCACTGCCCAGGGCTGCAGCCTCTGCTCCCCGCCCACCCTCAGATACCTCCTAAGTGAGTGGCTTCATTCAGGCAACACTCCCTTTTAGGCAGATGAATCTGCCATCCCTCCAGCCAGTGTCTCTCCTGAGCTGCGCACCAGTGAGACCTCACCGACACCTCTGCGTGGGTGACACCGTAAACTGAAAATGCCGGGCACGGAGCCCGTTACCTTCCTTCCCCGAGCCCCGCTCCTCTCAGAGAACGGCACCACCACGACTTGGATGCCCAGGCCACACACCTGGAGTGGATTATTAATTTTCCCATCTCTGCTACTATGATAGGTAATCAATTGTGAAGTCATATGTCTACACTATCTGTTAAATCTGATGTCTCTTTGTGTGAACACGGGCAGTTCAGGTCTTCACGATTCTGACCGGCCACTGTGAGGTTTTCAGCGTTTTCACCCCGCTGTGACCACCTTTCATGTGGAGCACACGCTGCGCACTCCCGCCCTGTAGGGACACTGACCTGGGGGCTGGGCTTGCCCTGGCCAAACATACATGTGCCGAAGTGGCACGCACTACTCTTAGCGCCACGTGTGCTCTCCTCCCTCCCTCCCCTCTGCCACCTGCCAGCAGTGCCCCAGGGAGGGGCTGCGCCATCGGCCTGGCCCTGCAGTGAGGATGCATGGAGGCGGAGCTGCGGCTCACCCAAGATGACCAGACAGCCCTGGCAAGGAGTAAACCGTTGCTTTTAGAGGCAAAACAAACCAAAACCAAAACACCACCCAAATGGTCCGCCTACACTGCCTAGTCACGGAAACACAGAAAGGCTCGTGTTCAACAAATGAAGTTGAGACACATATTTGGTCTCTGAGTACAACCAGAACTTTAATCCAAACCATTCTGGCTGCACTGAGTGAGCTGGGCAGCAACACTGGTAAGATTCGGCCGAGTCAATCAGTCCTACCACCCTGCCTACACGGACCACCCTTCCGAGGCCCGTAAGTGTCTCGCTGAGACTGGGCACCATGGCTCATCTGGGTGTGCCTTGCGTGGACTCATGGAGAGCCTGCGCCCTTGTTGGCGCCCCTGGGCACGCAGATGTGTTTTTTAGTTAGCTGCCCCTTTGGTTCCTGAGAAACATCTGGTTCCCTGGCTTTTATTATGAGGAGGGAAAAGAGCACACACACACACACACACAATCAAGGCCACTCTGACGTACACAGATCAAAACAGCAGGTATCTGCATCAAAACTACTGTGGAATAGAAGGGGAAATACTGTTGTGTAAAGGAGGGACAACACTGAGAAAAACCCTTGGGCTGCTACTGTAGCCCTAAACCAGTGACACCAGTGACAAAGCTTTTCCCCTTCCGTACATACTAATATGTCACCAGCACCTCAAAAATTCAGACCCAAGTAATAATGGCCAGTATCGGAGAAGCATTTAACATAAGAAGCCAGGAGAAACTATTAACAATTCATGTCCAAACAAATAATTATGAGAAAGATCCTTGTTAGCAAAGATATGTGAAAATCCCCCTTTTGAAATAAGTTAGCTCCTCTTTTATACTTAATGCACAAAATTTTATACTCAAGTTTGGAACATTTTCATTAGCACTCGTAAATTCAATGCTGATGACACTGTAAGCTAGTACAACTCTTGGGAAAAGCGATAAGGTTCCATCGTTTAAAAAATGTGTTACTGTGGAAGAGGAAAGACAATATTCAACGGTGAAGATAACTGCGCCAGAATGATGGTATCGTAGGCAATTGAAAATAGCATCAAACATGCTCTCTTTTCAATTCTTATGATGGAAGAAAAAGAAAGAGCCAGGGAATGTATTCAAACAAATTTCAGGCATGTGAATTTGCCAGCCTGACTCTTCTTTCTCAGGAATTAATTTAGAAATAGAACTCGTGGCAGATTTGGATAGAAACTGAAACATATCACACATGCAACTGAATAACAAAAGGAGAGTTATCAATTTTTCTTATACTGATTTATGTTTACAAGATGGGGGAAGTCAATATACTGCCAGCATTGAGTCGTGTACATGACAAATCCAATGGGACAATTTTTACAAAGATTTTA